AATTTCTTCTCCTGATTCCCCCCCCCCCCCCGGCCTGGCGGCAAGGACAACATAGTGTGTTAATAACATGCAGGATGAGTCCCCGGAGCAATGCTGTAAAGGGGGACAAATAAGGTCTGTCACAGGGGCCCATTTCTTCTTCCTCTCCTGTAGGTTCTGCAGATGACCATCAAGGGCCTGAGAGGAGAAGAGCAGCTACATCTTCCCACGGAGATGGAGGAAGCCACTTTCCTGGTGAATGACGGGATCCACGATCCAGCCACCATCATTTATGACTTTAGCAAGGTGAGGGACACCTGGCCCAGGTGGAAAGGTCCCCATAAGGCACATGAGACCGCCGTCTGGTTCATTCTCACATGACTAGCATAGATCCACTGAACCAACTGTTGAAGGATGAGTCAACGCTTATCAAAATCCCATTGACTCAAGGGACCTACTCTTGTTTGCAACTGGTAATGGGATTATGGCCCAATTTTTCAGAGCAGAATGTTTAGATTACTTCATATGCATGAAAAAGAGCAGTGGTTTTAAGTTATAATGTTTATGGGAAATGATAAAAAGAATAGGTGAACCATCTTCCTTTACTAGGGGGCCGAACCTGACACTACTCTTGTTTGCAACTGGTAATGGGATTCTGGCCCAATTTTTCTTTTTTCTTTTTTTTTTTCAGAGCAGAATATTTAGATTACTTCATATGCATGAAAAGGGCAGTGGTTTTAAGTTATAACATTTATGGGAAATGATTTAAAAAAATTAGGTGAACCATCTTCCTTCACTAGGGGGCCGAACCTGACGTTGGCCTTTGAGAGATGCTGTTTTGCAGGATATGAAAGATGTTGTTGGGGGCATAAAGGGCTAAATGGAAAGCCATGCTCTGTCTTTGCACAGCTGTTGATCGGCTACAGACCCTGGGATGGTCAAGCCTGCTATCTCACCAGGATGGATAAGGGAAATGTCCAAGGTCTGGATGCCGTCTTCATGGAATTACAGGTAAGGGCAGGATCCTTGCTGGATGCAGAACTGGTTGTGACAGGACCTTGAGAGATACTGGCCTAGATTTGATCCCTAGAGTAAAAAAATCTTGAATCAGTGGCATTCACAGAAGCATCAATTTACCGTTGATCAAGCAGATCTAGTGTCGTTAGGATGGACAACCCCATTTAAGCTACAGGAAATGGGGTGTAGTGTAGGGGGCAGAAGAGCCAGCTCCTTGGCAGTTTATGAGCAGATGACAGAATTCTAGAATAATGGAGTTGGAAGGGTCCTAGAAGGACATCCAGTCCAACCCCCTTGTCAGGGCAGGACTCCAAATCAAAGCAGATCTGATCGAGGGTGGCTCAATTTCCTTTTGAAGGCTGCCAGTGTTTGAGTGCTCACCGCCTCCCAAGGTAATGGGTTCCATCGACATACTTCTCTAACAGTTAAGACATTTTTCCTGATATTCAAAGTCTGGCTTCCTGTAGCTTGTGCCCATTCTTACGTGTCCCACACTCTGGGAGGATTGAGAACAGATCCTGCCCCTCCTCTGTATGAAAGCCTTTCAAGTATTTGAAAAGCGTCATCTTATCTTCCCTCAGTCTTCTTTTCTCAAGACTAAACATGCCCAGTTCTTTCAGACCCGCCCTGCTCAGCGTCTATAACTCTGAAATCTATGTGGTGGTGGTGACACCTTCCATTCACTTTCAGTTAAACAGGATCAAGACTGTATTCTCAAAGGCTTTCACGGCCGGGATCCGATGGTTGTTGTAGGTGTGTTGGGCTGTTTGGCCGTGTCCTGGAGGTTTTTCTTCCTAACGTTTTGCCAGTATTCTCGAAGGCTTTCTCTGGCATCTTCATAGGACAGGAGTTGGGGGGGAGCTGATCCCACTGGTACAAATACTCAACTATCCCACACACTACTCCAGAACACAGGCAGAGTTCTAACTCCTATCTTCTGAAGATGCCAGGCACAGAGACTGGCAAAACATTAGGAAGAAAAACCTTTGGAACACGGCCAAACGGCCTGGAAAATCTACAAGAACCCCAGGTCAAGATTCTCGGGGCAAGCTTTTGAGATAAAAGAAATCCCTTCATCATGTATAATATCACAACACACCAGGATCAGGGAAAGAGAGAGCAAGGTCTGCTTGCTCTCTGCTGGTGGCGCGAGGGAGAACGGGCATGCGAGTCAGCAAGACTCACCAAGGGTTAGATTTCCTTTACTTTGCTGAGAAACAGAAAGGGCATGTGAAGTTATAGCCTTTGAATCTCCATTCTGGACATGCAACATCCATCTTGGAATCTCGATCCCTCTTCCTCTCCCATGTGAAGCCTGGAGCCCTTTCTTTGTAAGGGGCCAGAGAGACTTAAAACAGTTTCCATGCTGTCAAGACTGGAGATGGCTTTAGATTTTTGATGGCTTTAGAAGGTGGGGCAGGTAAAGCGGGTCAATAAAACGTCAACCTGGGAGGCCCTGCCTCGTGTCGTAGGGAGAGATGAACTTTAAAAGATTAAACCCTTTTGTTTTTTGTACCCACTAAATAAATCATAGCAGCTCGGTTCCCTCTCTTTCGTCTTCCACGCCAGGTCAAGTCATCCATCCTCCCTCCAACCCTGAGTGGGAGGGAACAGGAAGAGGTGCTCCTGACACCCCTGGTTGATCGTTTCGACTTGGGCACTGCCCTCAACATCCTCTGCAGCCGCGTGCCCATCTTTTGGGCTTAGAGAGGTGAGTGGGGAATGAAGGACAAGATTGGGGAGCAGGCGTATCTAGAAGCAGAGGAGCCCCAGTCTCATGGTAGCCCCTAGGCACATGTGAACTCACATTTGGAGATACTCAGAGATACTTGATACACTCAAATGCCCAGAGGTGCTCCATTCCTGTTCTGAAAGTGATGCACTTCACCTCTTCCAAAAAAAATCCCAAGCACCTCCTTTGGCCCAGATTGAGAGACAGAGAGGGAAGGAAGGCAGAGTCCTGTCCTGCACCCAGGCTAGCAAAGAGTGAGGTGGAGGGAAGACAGAATCCCAAAGGTTGCCCCTTGGCCTTCTCTTGTCAACTCTGCACCTACCATGGAGACCACAGGGACAGGACCGAATATGGCTGAAGCTTCAAGGGTCCCACTTTGTGTCAAGGTCTCCAGGGAAAGGAGGGACCTCTCAGGGGGAAGATCCAGGAGTTATCCAGGGGGCAGCAGGGCGGTGTGCTACTCGGTTGGAGAAGAGCTTCTGTTCCGAACCCCCGTTTACATCAGGCTTCATCCCAACACATTCCTAGTTGCAACCTAGTTTTGTTCCTAAAGATGCCTTTCTCTAGACTCCACCCACCAAACTGCCGGCCAGTTTCCCATGAACTGCCCGGCTCTACTCCAGCGTCTCCAGGTCCGAGACTTGGAGGAGACATAAAATGGGCACCTGAAATGATCCACTTGATCCCCATCAGTGACCCACTCACCAAACTTCCCACAGCAACTTATGCTCCCGCAGGGACCCTACTGGCCGTCCTAGGGAGCAGGCTTGGATGGATGGCCCGGAGAACACCTCTGACATAGCTTCCTCTGTTCTGCAGGCTTTGCACCACAGAAAAACTCAGCTCCCATCTCTGGATTGTTGCCACATGGACTGGAAACGCCCCTCCCACCGGGCCCTGCTGTGCCCCATACTTGAACGGCTTTGCTGTGGGATTTGGCTCAAGACGGATCACACAACCAACACAGTGGAACAGGCGCTCCACAAAGACAAGAGGCTGAAAAGTTGTGTTCCCGTTGTTCACAAACCTTATGAACACCTCAAGCTAGAGCCACATAGTTGACGCTGAGCAGTGAAAAATTCTGGGACAGGGTTGATTTTTGGTTAGACATTTGAGAAGCCATTCCTGGATATTCGGGCTCTTTCCTTGGCCAGGTCCTGTTGAACCCTTCCCTTCCCTCTCCAGGCAGACACTGCCACGTACGTGGGGTGTTCTGTCTCCCTGCACAGAGTTTTGGGAAAGTTGCTTTTGGAGACGACAGCTTCCAGAATGTGGGGGTTGCCGCTTTTAAAAATCACTGTTCCTAATTTAAGGCCATGCAGAGTGATACCCCAAAGCACTGCCCTGGACCTCTTCCTCTCTGCAACCTTTGTGAGAGGCCTCTGTGTGGCATCTGCTAAAAATAATAATAGAAATAAGAATAATAAAAATTCTAGCTCAAAAAAAAAAAACTAGAAAGAAATGAAAGATGGGCAAGAATTCTGAAAGCAAAAGGAAATTCTGCCCACTCTGCTTGTCTTCACCATCATCTTTCCTAGCGGGAGGGCAACAAAAGAGTAAATAAATAATGGGAGGACCACTGAGGCTAACTCGAAGTGGCAGCCGACACAGGGGAGAGTGGATAACAGATCGAAGGATGGGAGCCCTTCCGAGTGCGTTCCAGCTTCTTGACAGCCAAATGGATTTGGGAAAGGCAGGAGGGGAAAAACCCCTGGGAGGAACAGACGGCATTCGTTTGGAAGAGAAGGGCCGGCAGAAATCCCCTCATCACTGAGAAGGGACAGAAATGCACAGACTAGGGAGATCCGGGCCTCAGCAAATCTCCCTTTTGCTCATTCATAGTCTGAGATGGATTTTGGCCCAGTTTTTCCTCTCTCCCTTTGAATTAATCCTTTAAAAACTGCTGTAATCACACCTGCGAATGTCCAGGAATGGCACTCAAAGGCAGAGTATTAACCGAAATGCCCAAACCCACCCACCTAGCTTTTAAACCATGTAGTCTTCTCAAAGGACAATAGCTCAGGGGTCTACACAGGAGGGGGCCCCCGGTAATTCAAGCACCGCACGCGCACAAACCCTCTGGCTGTTATACCCAAGCTTAAGTGCTGTGATCTTGCTTTGCCTTGCTTATCAGATGACATTTAGTCAAAACGTAGGGGGAAAGTCCTCACCCATGTTGTCGGGAAGATTCGAGGGGGGGGTGTTGACAGCCAAAACGTAAGTTTTCCAAGCTCAGGATCCAGAACAGAAGAGAGTTGCCTTGTCTTTTTCTTTGATCTAAATTCGTAGGATTCTGCCTGATTTTGCCTGCGGAGGACAACCCAGTATGTATAATTTGCTCGTAATCCTACAGGCTGCAGATTCGTATACAACATTTCTAACCTTGCCACTTACAAAGGTTTGGAGCTGATGCTCTTTCATAGAAATGCACTTCAATGACCTGCGCTTGGCAATTCCATTTTATTATAGTTTCAAACGTTCAAAGGAGCTCAGCCCTTGCTTCGGGCAGCCACGACCATCAGACAAAAAGACTTAGGGAGTCTTTATCGCTACTGTTGAAATTGGCAAAAGAAAACACCGAGACACCACAAAGGGAAAGGTTGCATTCTGAGATATTGATTGCAGGTGGCCAGGCAGAGAGAGCTCTTTCCTCATCGTGACCTAACCATTTTCTCTGTTTTCAAACAGCCAGACCAAATGCATTACACTGGAATACAAATATTTGCAAAGCGCCCTCTTTTCCTGTAAGAGAAAATCTTAAAGCAAATTTCCAAACATGCAACATTTCACCCAGTAGAAAAAAATCACAGAGTTGGGGACGCAACTCTGAGAGCTAGTTTTTAACAGATAGGGAATAATTATTATAATGTCTATAGCCAGGGGCTTGCTTTTGACAAGTCATTTTTCACACTCCTTAAGTTGTGATTTTTTTTAAAAAAACAACTCTGAACGATCACACTGCATGCGAACATACCAGCAGGCTGCAACCCATGATATTTCTGCTCCTGGAAAGAAACCATCCAATTAGTGAGCCATCAAGATTATCATCTGCTGGAATGGAAGAAGGGAAGCTGGATTCGGTGAAAGTAGCCATAACACAGGGGCCCTGGCACCAAGGAGCGGAACGGTTCCCGAACCCCAGCAGCCCAGCAAGGTGGGAAACCTGTCCAGATGCACCACTGTTTCTAAGCCACAGGAACTCAAGCGTGGAAGGCTTTTCTTTTGCTGTAGCTGATCCTTGATTGTCAGCATTAAGCTTCAAATAATATGATGTAGTCAATAAATACATAAGGAATCATCTGAATTATGCATATATGTATAAAGGAGGGGCCCCTGTCATTTAAGCACCACATGCACGCAAACCCTCTGACTGTTATATTCAAGCTTAAGGGCTCTGTCCATGTGTGTGTTCTAATGATGGACTGCGGGGGCTATTTATCCCACCCAGCCACTCTGTTGGCCTAGCTCTGCCATTGATGCCTTTCTAAACTTCAGGAGTCAAAAGTAAGGCTGGGGTGTGGTGGGGCAGCACGAACTTCAGGCACTTGGAGGCTTATGCTCCTGTCTCTTTAGGCACAGCCGCCACTGTCTACTACGTCCATGTGTGTGTTCTAATGATGGACTGCGGGGGCTATTTATCCCACCCAGCCACTCTGTTGGCCTAGCTCTGCCATTGATGCCTTTCTAAACTTCAGGAGTCAAAAGTAAGGCTGGGGTGTGGTGGGGCAGCACGAACTTCAGGCACTTGGAGGCTTATGCTCCTGTCTCTTTAGGCACAGCCGCCACTGTCTACTACAGGAGCCTCCGAACTTCAGGCACTTGGAGGCTTATGCTCATATCTCTTTAGGCACAGCCGCCACTGTCTGCTACAGCAGCTTTGTGGTGCATTGGTTAAACTGCTGCCCTGCCGCCAAAACTCTGCTCGTGACCCGGGTTCATTCCCAGGGAGCGGGCTCGAGGTTCGCTCAGCCTTCCATCTTTCTGAGGTCGGTAGGTTGTGACTCAGCCTTCCATCTTTCTGAGGTTGGTAGGTTGTGAGTACCCAGCTTGCTGGGGGCGGGGGCGATGTGTAGCCTGCATAATTAAAATTGTAAACCTCCCAGAGAGAGCTTTAAGTGCGATGGGGCTGGATATAAGCATCATGCTTGGCTTGGCTCCCCGAAGGGGACGGGGATCAAAGGCTTAAAAGGCCATGGGCGTCACAAACCCACCGTCTCTTTCTGGTTAAGGGTCCGATGCATAGACTCTCATTTCAGAAATCCCCCTCGCTCAGGACTGTCCTGCAAAGGCACGCAATCATTTATTTTTTTTCTGAACCTTTTCCATGGGCTTCTTCCTGACCTGGGATTCCCTCTGGCGGGCAAGATGACCAGTCCCATCATCTCCAGCCCGATGGGGATCCGATGGCCGTGCTGGCCGAGGACAAGGAGGACTGTTGTCTGAGGCATCGGAAAGGGGTGACCCATCGGAGAAGGCAGATTTCAAGGTTTCAGCTTCACCAGGGCCACATGTTCTGCTGGTTAGACCCTAGCCTGGATCCTGCCCCCCCCCCGTTTCCTCCCTGAACCCTCATTTCACCGCAAACCAAACCATAGCGCAGGGCGAGAGGCGGCGGCCGGGTGGTCCCTCTTCCGCCCTCCCAGGTCTGAAGGCCGTGACTCGGTCTTAGCCCCGGATGACGTAGACGACCCCACACACCACAGGGGAGAAGGTCAGGAGGGTCACCCGGCCGGGGTCCTTCGGGGCTCGGCTGTAGAGCTCCCTCTCCATCATGGGGTCTGACCAGTTGGGGTTCTGGAAGCCAGGCTGGGCCGCCGGCTTCCCGGCTGTTGAGGAGCTTTGCCCTCCTCGGGAGTAACGGGATCTCCCGAGAGAGCTCAGGCCGTAACCGACGGCTGCCCCAACGGCAGCCGCTCCGGCCACCTTTGCCCCCCGGGAGCCGCTGGAGCTGCCCGGTTGACTTTGTCCGCCGCTGCTGCTCTTTGGTAGAGAATGAAAGCCTCCCCGACTGGAGGACGAGGACGAAGAGGAGGACCCTCGGCTTTTGCTGCTTCCCCCTCCTCGACTCCCACCCCGGCGGCAAACGACGGGCTCGTCGAACAGAGCAACCAGGAGCACGACTGTCCAACACCAGGCGGTCCAGGTTTGCCTCATCGTGGAGCACCTGAAAAAAAGAGGAAAAGCTGAAGCAAGAATGCCAGGTGGCTGACCCTGTGCCCTCTACCGTCTGAGTTTTTAAAACCTCGCATGTTGCCTTTAGTAGGTGTGGCTTGGTGGGACTTTTTCTGAACTGGGGTGACTGTCAATCTATCCAGCACTAACCAATAGTTCCCTCCTAATTTCGAAAAGAGCCCCGCCTCTCTGCTCCATCTCTCTTTCGCTCTCTTGATTCTGTTGAAGTCTGTTGCTGAAAGCTGCCGTGTTTTCTCCATTTGCTGTTGAGCTATAAGTAAGGGAATACTTTTTTTCCCTATTACTCATGTCTCCTAGTGAGTTACTGAGAATGTAAGTGCCAGCTATTGAGAAAAGGAGTGGTCTGTTTTTGGGCACTTGAAGATATTCTGCTCTGCAAATTCTCGCACTTCTGCTGGACAGCTAGAACGAGTTAGCCAACAATTCTGCTTAAATTAATAAGGTAACCATCACCATCATCTGGAAGGGATGGTGTGGATCATGGAGCCCAGCCCTTGTCAAGGAGGCCTCGTGGGGGAGGAATCCAACTCCCCACCTCTGGGGTCCTTAAACCACTGAGCTATCCCTAAGATGCAAAAAAATATTTCTATTTTTGCATCTGTACACTCCAATCAACGTGTGCCAGTTTTATCCAGATCTCCATCCTCTTTTGTTGCCTTCAATGATGCACACTCCCTTCTCCTGCCTAGCGGTCTAGAAGAGACCACCATAGGGAACCATAGATCTTTAGGCTCAAATTATACACAAAGAGCCCCGTCGTTAAAAAGATAGAAAATCATGTCTACTTTGGCCCCAAACCTCCCAAAGTATTTTGAGCTGGGCAGGGCTGATAGGTTTTTATGGGCTGGATCTGTAAGGCAACTGATGGGTTTAACACAACAGTTGCAGCCTTACCTCCTACCGTTGATGGAAGATTAGGGTTCTGGGTTCTAATCCTGTCCACTCCGGTGACAGGGTTGTTTGGAACCTGCCTGCATATTGAGGGAGCCTGGAAGAATAAGGACATATCTAACGGGTCTCTGCTCCAAAAAGAGTTTAATTCCGGCTTCCAGAGGGAATGCAAATGTTGTGGTTGGCGAGCCTCCAGCCTGGCCTTTTCGTGTCAGAGCATCCGTGCTCAATAGCAGGCCAGCGCTCATGACATGGCAGAACCTTCTGGGAAGAAAAGCTGAACAAAGAGGTGGGAACTGCTGAGTCATCGCCCCCATCCATCCATGCATGCAACACACACACACACACACACACAAACACAAACACACACACACTGCTGTTCACATGACCCGCGGAAACAAAGGCCAGCAGAGAAGACAAAAACACATTCTCTCTCTCTCTATCTCTCTCTCTCTCTCTCTCTCTCACACACACACACACACACACACACACACACACACACACACCAGCTGAACAAGACAACAGCACTGCGTGTCTAACTGAACACCCTTCACCCCTTCAAGCACCAAATGGAATAAACCTAAGTTACGCCCCCGCCCCCCGGAAATTTCCACTGCAGGCAGCATCAAAAGTAGCCCTATCAGAGTTTGACTGTCACTTCCACTGCTAACCTGTTAGTTTTGGAGCTAAGTTGCTATTCCAAAGCAATGCAATCAACGGGAGCAAAAATTGATTCAGGGGTGCAACGTATCACATCATCTAGTTACTTTCACAGGAAAGAATCCAGTTGAAAAAACCACACATGCATAAACGGTTTGCACCCTCTGAGGGGTCGCGAGACCGTCTCCATGGTCATGAAACCGGCTGTGTAATCATTTACGGGATGGACTGCCAGCCACAAACTACCTGGCCCACTGGATGCCCACTGGAAAGAGGAGCAAAGGTGCGACAGAAACTTGGAGACAGGACCGGCTGGCGTTTGGCCAAGGTCAAGTTCTGACCTTGTCATTTGGGTTCTTGAAGAACAGGAGCAGACACTGGCTGAAACCGGGCAGAAAGTCAAGACAAGAGTAGGCCCATTCAATCAATGGGGATGGGAGGAGCCGATTTCTCTGTATGTTCCACTGATTCAATGAGCTTACTCTTAATTAGCCAGGGCTCATTAATGGAAAAACATACCTTCTCTCCCAACTCCAAAGGCTCTATAGTAGCCTGGGTTTAGCAGTTGTTTCAAAGCTGGGCTTTCAGGGGAAGTACTAAAAAAATATAGTCCTCCACTTGCTTCAGGTTCACCCTATCAGCATCTTTTCTTGCAGAAATGTTCCTTTCAGGCTTCAACAGGAAGTCAACAATTTCTGACAGTTAATGCCATGATGTTTCGCTCCTTTATGTATCCATGCCATCAAATTGGAACCGACTTGTAGCAACTCTAATAGGGCATTTGAGGGAAATAAGGTATTTAAGGAGTGGCTTTACCAGTTCTACTCCACCATTGATTTTCCATGGCTGAGTGGGGATTTGAACTCAGTCCCCCAGAGTCCTAGTCCGTTATTCTACCCACGACACCATTTGTTCCTTTTTATTTTAAAAACACTGGGCGTTTTATAACCACAGGGCACCCGCAGTTATTCCACTTTCTGCTTTCAAGAGCCAGGGGAGATAAAAAGCTGCGTTGGTCCTTTTTCAAGAGGAGGGGGTGTGTGCCGAAATCTACAGCTGGTCCTACTGAAGTGTCACCCATCTAAAAGATCTCCAAACAGTTTGGAAAGGAGCGTCTTGTTGATTCAGCCCAGGGCCACACAAGGATTTAAGAATATTTTGGAAATGAAAGACTTTAAACTCTATGTAATGAACCTGCTAATCTTGAACTTTGTCACACACTTTGTGATTTCCCCCCCCCTCACTACATCATCATCATCTTAGAACTGCAGGCAACGGGGGGGATTTGAATCCTAACCAACAGGATGAATAAGCATTAAAAGTCTTCATCAAGGTGGGTGTTAAGGAAGCAGGACAGAGGAAGGGGGAGAAAAGCTGGCTTGATGTTTGACATCTTAAGTCCCAGTCTCAAGAACAGATTGTTGGATTTATTTAGATTGAATTAACTGAACTGGGGAGATTAAAACTTCCCAGTAGTGCGAGATTTCCTATATTTGGACAAGCAAGAGATTCTTGTCCGTCGCTCTGTATTGATGGAAGGCATATTAATTCAGTCTACCCCAGCAGTAACTTGTGTTGAATTTATTGTTTTTCCATTCGGATTTATCGTGCTCCGGTGAGAAAGCCTCTCACAAACAAGGGAAATACGGTGAAAGCCCATTTGTAAATGTCAAAAATATTTTCCATTCATTTAAAAAAAAATTAAGCAAAACCAAAACAAAAGGACCAACCAAAGATTATTACCATACCTTTTTGTGGGCTAGAGCCACAAAATATGCGGTTCAGATTTACCTTATCCTAGACGCAGTTCTTGAAATACATGAATTGTTATAAAGTGGGTGCCATAATATTTAGGCAGTCCATTCCCTAAAAACGCAGAGGGGGCACAATTCTAAAAAGAGAAGTGGACAAGTCGCCAGGGGAACAGCCTGTGATTTAAATTATCCGGATCTTTGGAAAAAGAGGGTGGATGGGAAAAATGCTCTGGGAAAACGACTCTCCCAAACTAGCCAACTAATTTTTTTTAAAGCCCGGAAATGCATGTTCTCAAGCAGCCATCAAGAAAGTCAACTTCACTTACGTTCTCCGAGGAGCAGTTATGACCACCAGATCGGGACACCCTTGGGGAAAGGCCCTCTGCTACATCCTCTGCGAACAGGCTGGCGGCAGAGTTGTCAGCGGCCAGGAGAGCTTTCCAGCAAAGAACAAAAGCTCAGAGCTCCCTGTCACCTGACCGGTCATCGGAGCAGGCGATGCACTTTTTATTGCTGCCCTGCACAACTCATGACCCGCCAGAATAAAGTCCACAAAGTAAGGAGGCCTCTGCTGGTGTTCAGAACCCCACCCACTCCCTGTGTTGACAACCCAGACAAGCCAAAGGGACCGGTGGTTCATCCAGAGCTTGGCAGGACACCGGAAGTGGCATGGCAGTGCATGCAGGGTGTAGGTCCGCTCCATCTCTGTGAGGTCTTAACCTGGAGGGAAATGATCTTCAAGAAAACCTGGCATGTGGACCTACCGAGTGCAATGCAACCTTGGGTTCACCGGTCAATAAACCACCAAATAGGTTGGCAGACATTGACCGTCACGTGTTTATAACCAGGTAGTCACCTACGATAAACATGGCACCACCTTTGCGTACAGAAGGTCCAAGACGCAAGTCCTGGCTCCTTCAGGTAGGGCCAGGAAAACTTCCTCTCGGATATCCTGGAGAGACGCTGCCAGCCAGAGCCGACAAAGGTGGGTGGGTGGCTCCATCGTCAGACGTGGCCCAAAGCCGCTCCTTAACTGGCTGTAGCTCCATCTGAGATAAGGAACCTTCTCCTCCTTTAGGCCCGAAAGGTGGGTGGGTGGCTCCATCGTCAGACTTGGCCCAAAGCCGCTCCTTCTGAGAGAAGGAACCTTCTCCTCCTTTAGGCCCAGATCCAAAGGCTTCGTTCCACCTAGTTCCCTCCCACAGCCACAAAACAAACTTGAGGACCACCGTTGCATTTCTATTCTCAAAGTGCTTTAATTGAAATAATCTAGTTGTATGTGCTTCGTACTATATGTTGAGCTGTTACAGAACGGGGTTAAGAATGAGGTGTTATCAAACTCGTATTTCAAACACTGTACAATGTCTTTGCAGCACAAACCTCTGAAAGACGCAGACAGAAATTTTTAAAAAATGAATGTTCTGAAGGGGCGTTCTGAACATACTTGGCAAACTGGAAAGGAAAGACCAGCTGGTTGGGTATGAACGACAGATCACAATATTGTCATTTCAGCTAAAGACAGAAACTCCAAACCTATTATTTTAAAACAAATTACAGATGGTGGAAGCATTCAACGCGCCTATCTATTTGTGCTTTATAAGACTCAGAGCACGTTCTTTTTCCCCTGAAGGTTCTGAAAAATGTTTAGCGCACCTCTTTCAAGGTCTCCAAACTGTTCAGGTAATTGAAAATCATATTCCAAATGATAAAAGGTGTGATCTACATAATTTATTCTTTCCCCAAAAATGTAAACCTTGGCCAGTGAGGAAAGCCTGGGAGGAGGAAGAGGGGGAATCAAAAGGGAACCATTTACCCTACATTGAAACTTGTCTAAAGCCGACTCATCTATTCAGCAGGATAAATGGAGTCAGACTTTTCCTGCAAATCATCAAGAGATGCTGAAGAGGGTATGTTGATAGACAGAAGAGAGGGAGAATACATGGCTTCCCCACATTTATGTTCTATGTAAACGACATGTCTAGGTTCCACTTAGCTATGTCAAGAACATGTTATTTTTCTGGGTGCAGGATGGTTTCTGTTCAAATAAGAAATTCCTCAGACCTGAAGAAGCCTGGAATAGTAGCTTTCAGGAAAAGCTTTACTTTATGACTTGGCCTATGGAAACCTTCTTCTTTTCTTCTTCTTCTTTTTGCATGGAAAGGGAGGGAGGGCAGAGAAAACCCCCCCCCCCCCCCGCCACCGCCATTTCTTCCTTCCTTGCAAAAGCCACATTGAAGGATAATCAGGTGATACCATCCTCTGCCCTGGGACGGATGCTGTACTGAGGACGGTCAGTTGCAAAACTCAGGAAACAAGTCAAGAAGTCCCAAAATACATCTTTTGAATCTCAAATCAGAGACGGTTGGCTGTGCCCCTCAAAACATGGAGATGCTCCCCAGCATCAGCATCATACTACTAGGCTTTCCCCTTTTCCCTCACTAGGAGGGACCACAGATGGGCCTTGGCCAGTCTGCTTAAAAGCAGGTTATTGCAAGCAAAGGGCAGAACCCTGCAGCATTGACCCAAGGGATGGCAGGATGCTCGCAGAGGGCCACCTTCTCTCTAGAATCTTTTCCGCCGTTCTGCGCAGTGGACCAGCATCCTCACCCCACTGCCAAGGAAAAATGGGTGGGTGGCCCGTCAGGCTGAGAATGGCTTGTAAAAGGTCACACATGGATCCGCATTCAGGCCCCGGAGTCCCTTTCGACTCCCTGCTCAGTCCTTCAGGCTCTGCGCTACCGTATGTGCCTTTCTAGAGGAGCGCTGCTGATCATCTTGGCGGACACGGTGGGCTTCTCAGTACGTCAAGACAAGGGTGGTGACGAGAGCCGCGCCCCGCCTCCCATCCTTAAGACCACCCTTCTGAAAAGGAAACAGCCGGAAATTCCAGGCTAAGGATGTTAAAACATGCCGGCATTTATTTCACGCTCAAAGGTGAGACGGAAACGTTTCCAATGTTTTTTTTTTCCGTACGAGCTGGTTACAAGAGGATTTGGTCCCTACATTCTCTGCAGTTTTTCAAAAGATTCGCAGAAATGTTTTGGGGCAAAGAACTTGAATTCTGAGCAATAAAACCTCATGTATTGAACACCCCAAAATTAATGTACACAACGCAAGGTTTCAGAGACGAAATCAAAGGCTTTTTGGACAAAAGACACACTCTGGCTCAAACGACAAGTTTTCTTCCTCGCATCTGCTGCTGCTGCAAGAAATAATACTCTTTTTGTCCACATGAAGGACTGGAAAACCTCACAGCACTTCAACAGGGGTGGTGGTGGGTAGACAGGATTGAGGCATCCTTTATTTATTTTTCCTGAGGATAAGAAAATCACATCCTTTCTCTAGAACAGTGGTTCTCTACCAGGTCCCCAGATGTTCTTGGGCTATATGTCCCAGAAGCCTTCACCACCAGCTGTGCTAGCCAGGATTTCTGGGAGTTGTAGTCCAAGAACATCTCTGGACAGCTAGGAAATTTTTCCTGATTGTTTTGTTGTTTAGTCATTTAGTCGCGTCTGACCGTTCATGACTCCATGGACCAGAGAACGCCAGGCCCTCCTGTCTTCCACTGCCTCCCGGAGTTGGGTCAAATTCATGTTGGTCGCTTCAGTGACCCTGTCCAACCATCTCATCCTCTGTCGTCCCCTTCTCCTTTTGCCTTCACACTTTCCCAACACTTTTCCAGGGAGTCTTCTCTTCTCATGAGATAGCCAAAGTCTTGGAGCCTCAGCTTCAGGATCTGTCCTTCCAGGGAGCACTCAGGGGTGATTTCCTTTAGAATTGATAGGTTTGTTCTCCTCGCAGTCCAGGGGGCTCTCAAGAGCCTCCTCCAGCACCACGATTCAAAAGCATCAATTCTTCGGTGGTCAGCCAAATAGACAACCTGGTAGCCGAAATCCGGCTTCCTGTCACTTGAGCCCATTCTTATGTGTCCTGCTGTCTGGAATGGTCGAGAACAGATCCTGCCCCTCCTCTGGAGGGCTACCTTTCAAGTGTTTGAAAACGGCTCCCCTTGCTCCCCCCATTCTTCTTTTCTCAAAGCTGAACATGTCTAGTTCTTTCAGTCTTTCCTCACAGGGCTTGGTTTCCAGTCCCTTCATCATCTCAACTGAGGCCAGAATCAAAAATATGCACAGGAATTTTTTAAGCACATCTGGACTAAAAACTATACACAGAGGAGACCCATTGGCCATTAGGTTTGTGCAAGTAGGAACTTTGGAGCTACCCTCAAATACCTGGCCTGAAAAGTGGCTGCATTGTTATTGTGCTGGTTCATATAAATTATTGCTATTTGTTTTTGTGCATGCAATATTTGGCATTTAGAGAGGACTAAAAAGAAGAGAGAAAAGGCCGGAGTGTTAAACAAAAAATTATCCACAATCCATCTAGTGCAATTTTTAGAACCGAAGACAGGTTATGCGATTAGGTAGAAGAAAGATGGGGAAAGTGCAATCGGGCACATGCTGACTTTGAACAAAACCCCCCAGACTTTCTTGGGACTTCTCTGGCTACGTTAAACAGGGTCCGAATTGCCGCTCAATGAACAAGACACCCGAAGGGGAATCCTTCGGTTTTGTTTGGGTGGTCCAAACAGAAAAAGCATCTTGTTTCTTTTCTTGAAAGAAGTTCAAGGCAGCCACAAAGAGCAGAACAACGTGTTACACATAAACATCTGTCAAGGAAAACCCACAACAGTTCTGCTTCTGTGAGCTTAGGGCTTCCCAGCCTGGGGTCCCCAAATATTCTTGGAGCAGAACCCCCAGAAATCCTGGCCAGCCCAGCAAAGGGTGGGTGGAGGCTTCTGGAGCTGCCGTCCAAGAACCTCTGGAGACCCCAGGTGGTGGACCCTTGTGTTAGCTCAAAGCAGCTCAAGGCTAGGGGTGGAGGGAAGACCCCATGTGGAGCAAACACCAATGGTGTGGGGGGGGGAGAAGAAGGTTGCCACCCCTTCCCTGCCCACGTCTCAGTTGGAACATCACTGTCTTGAACAAGACTGTCCCAAACCCGACAGCAGAGGTGGTTGGGCAAAAGGAAACATGCAGCTCCCTGGGATGTGGGATGTGTGTGAATGATCACACCAAGGGCTCCGCCAGGATCCGCTTCACTCTCTTTTTCTAGCATGGAAACCTTTGAGGTGGTTGTTTTTTCACTTTGTCAAAAGCAAATGATCCTATCTGGCCTAAAGCAACGACTTCCTAGTTGCCACAAGAATCGACCCAGTGAACCAACCACTAAACAGTGAATCAAGACTGAAGTATGCCCTGTTAGTCCAACGGGTGGGTCTACCACAAGGATTCTGGACTTCCTGTTTGTTATTATTTCTGTTTTCACTGCCAAGGAGCGGGGAAAGGCACCTGTCTGCTTTTCCGGCTCAGTGTGCCCAAATAACTCGGCTGGATTTGGGTACTTGTGTACCTTGAGGTGGAGGTTCCATCACCTCTCTGTCTCGGGCGGCAAAATGTCTTGGGCCAGCCCTGCCTAGAAAAACGGGGGGGACAATGAAAGGAATGGGAGAAGGGCCAACCCCCAAATTCAGCAGGATGAGGTAGACACAGAGGCCTGGGGAGGAGGGCGGTTAGGCCCTAGTTGAGAGGCTGCTTTGAAAAAAGGAAAAATGAAACCATGCAAAAGCATAGGCAGTAAAACAGGAGGGAAAGGAAATTATGACGGTCACGGCCATTACGATTAAGCCGGGGTAAGAACAGCCAAATTTGAAGCCTCCCCAGCTCAAAATAAAATCCTAACCATTCAAACCAGCAACATAAAGACCCTGTTAGAGTCGAAGGATCACGTGGCTGAACCCGACTGAAATTCCCCGTGAACCCAGCGTCCTCATTTCCACCCAAAAGCCAGCAAGGTGCCTCTGGGGAAAACATCTGCCCCCAACACCTGGATTCAGAGCTATACTGCTCCTACCCATGGAAGCTCCACGGTGTCCACCTTCAGGAACTGGGGAGGAAAGAAAGGCAGCAGTGAAAGAGAGTTTGGTGCGTTCAGGTTCATTCAGTTTCTGGACAGGAAGAGCCGTCTTGGTCCACCGGAGCCTCTCTGTCAGGTAAACAGGTATCCCGCAAGACGCCCCTCGGCTTTTTGCTTCAGCCCTCCTCTGCAGTCGGAAGCCTTCACATTGTGGCCGGCCCTTCGGCGATTTCTTCTAACCGTTGCTCAATCATTAAACGCAGGACTGAATACCTTGAAGAGAACCCCACAGAAGCAGCCACGTCAAAAAAAGGAAAAAAAAAGGAGGAACATGGGGACTTTTGTGGAAGGGGGAGAGAGAGAAATGTAAGGTGCCCTCCCCAGCTGACAAAATGTCCTTGCGAGGCTTTTAAAAAAATTGTGACACAGAAAAGCTCCTTTTCATGAAACTGCAGGTGCAAAAATGCCCAAGTCGGCATGGCACTCGCCCACAAAGCCCAAAAAGCTTTGGTGGAAGTATTTGTGAGCCAGAAAATCCTACGAAAGCTTGACTCCAATAAAGCAGGTTACTCCTTGAAATGTTGGAGGACTCTTCTTTCTTGGGGCAACAATAGGGCCCCCACCAAAAAGGGGGAGCAGCCGAGAAAGAGCCCTAACCCTTAAAACCTGGAGAGTCACGGCTGCCAGCCAGCGCTGACCATACGAAGTTAGATGGACAGGCAGCCAAACCCAGGATGATGGAGCTTCCTATGTTTGTTTTTTTTACCCATATGCTCTTCAGCTTGGGAGGAAGCCTCCTTGGCATCATCCCGTGGACCTCTCTTTCTGAGCCAACATCCCAAAGGGATCAGCTATAAAAGGGACTCTCGGCACAATTTCCCCAAACGGGTCCATAAATAAAACAGAAGGAGCCTCTTAGCTATGCAACAGCTGGTCTTTGTAGTCCTTGCTGTAAACTCAGTCTTGAGGCCTAGAAACCTCCTGCCGCTACTTCTCAAGAAAGGAAGAAACTTACTTGCGTCTCAGTTTCTTCACTTCCCGGTCTTCTTCCTCTTTGAGCTTCTGGATGAAGCTTTTCAAAACAGGCATTTCAAATTTAATATACTGAGCAACCTGTATAGAGAAGGAAAAGAGGAGCGGAGTTTTTTCCGTGGCCAGCCCCCACGGCCCAGATCATGAGCTTAATATCTGCTTGTGTGTTGATCCCCGGAGCTGGCACAAAGGTCTCCATTGGCAGGGGTCAAAGGAAGCGTCTTGCAATGGCTTTGACCCATCCGCTGGAGGGCACCAAAGGCACACGTTTTCCTAACATGGCCCTTCGCATCCTTTCTGCTGCCTGCACAATAAGTCATGTGCAGCACTCAATGCAGAAACACTTTCCCCCTCCTTCCGGTCTGTCAGTATGAGGCTAAACAAGCAGCCGTAAATATTTGCTATGCAGAAGATGAAATGCATGGAACCAGCAAGAAAAACGTTTGGATAGCTCAGCGGTTTAAGTTGCTATGCAGAAGATGAAATGCATGGAACCGGCAAGAAAAACGTTTGGATAGCTCAGTGGTTTAAGTCACCTGGCTGCAGAGCCAGAGGTTAAGAGTTTGATCCCCCCACACACACGGTTCCTCCTGGACAGGGCTGGACATGATGATCTATTATAGGGTCCCTTCCAGCTCTGCAGGTCTAGGATGATTATGATGATCTAAATCGAGTTACACTAAGGAGATCAGCATTCGGAAAACTTATTTTCCAATACTTTTTTAGTCCCTGGCCTTGACAGCTGCGGGTTTGAGAAACTGTAATCCGAAAAGATTTAGTTTGGCAAGCTCTAGTAAGGACAACTGAAGATGTCTGTCTCTGCTCTAGTCAGTTCCTCCTTTTCCTGACCTTCTCAGCTCGGTTCGGCCTGACTGCCTCGATTCAAAACACTTCTTCCAAAAGTCTGCATGGAAATCCACCCACCTTTTCGCGCACCAAACGTATGCATTTTTTTACACTTCCTCTACATGCTCCCATCTGTCCATAATTCTGGAAAGACTACACTGTCCGTAAGGCTGGGAAGGTGCAGATTTGGGACTGCAATTCGGTCCCAGCTGTTCACATCCCATGAGATTCAGAACTGAGTTTTGGGTAAATTTATAGAAAACTACAGGCAGAACACATTTCCGGTCACTCCTGCCCAACAGTAAACCAGAGAAGACTGTATTCTGCCTTTCGGCAGTGAACTAAAATTGCAGACCACTGCAAGATAACTCACATCATAGGTGACTTCTTCCACCTGGTCTTTCTCCATCAGAAACACTCTGGACACCTGTTCGCAGGGCCCCTGCAGTATCCGAGCGATCAGCGGGTAGTCGGTAGCCTTGAGCTTCTGTTTTTCTGCATCAAAGAGGAGCAGAGATGAGTCTTTGTATCAGAGAAGCCTTAAGGGCCCTCCTCAACTCAGCGCGAAGGACTCACTCAACTCAACTCTGCTGAAACATAGAGGTAAGCCCCACCAGGAAAGTGGCTGCATTTGGAACAGCAGCAATTAAGCTAAGCAAGATGCCTTTGTTCGGCTTAGCGGCTGCACGGGAGAACAGGGGTAGATCAGCATTTTAATAAAGATTTTGCATGAGGTGACGGGCAGGCAAGAGATCAGAAATCTGAGAGCTGCAGATTAGATCTGTCACCCTGCATTGTCAGCTTTCTCCTTGTGAGGAGCAGTTTCATTTTGCAGGAACCTTTTTCAAAAAGACATCACGGCTCTCGAGGCGCAAATGGCACAGCAACCCACACCATGTCTCAGAATGTGACCCACTTCTTCATGCTGTGCAAGCCATACACAAACTGGGGCACATCCCTTGCAAGTGGACCTGCTCTCTCTCTCCACAGTCCCATGGACAGTTTACCTGTGGGAATGGACAAACAAGGGTATCCCCTCACACATTCTGTGTGCCAAAGACAGAAGGAAGCCATGCAGACTTCTGCAGCGGCTGCCACTCTCCTCTGACATCTTACGTCAACCTGAGGCCAGTGGGTGAATTTGCAGCACTGATGAGATCTAACCGGTGTCTTCCTGATTCTCAACCCAATTGCTTAAGCACTACGCTAAGCCATCGCTCTCTTCAAACCGCGTCCAGGGTACTCACCTCCACTGGTGTGAACAACGTACAGTGCAAATTCTTCAGCAGAGTTCTCAATCTGAAGAAAGAAAAAGAGCAACTTGAGGGAATTTGCCTGGGCCGTGCCACGTGGCCACTTCATGTACATGGCAAGGACTTAAAGGATCTCCCACAGATTCTTTGTCAGAACATACTGGGAGGGGTCAACCTCAAGTAAACAAACATGCAAGCATGCAGTAGGTTGTAGTAGAAAAGCAGGGCAGGAAAGACACTGAGAGAGAGAGATGGATAGATGGATGGATGGATGGATGGATGGATGGATGGATGGATGGATGGATGGATGGATGGATGGAGCCAAACAAGTCACACAGAGAAGAGATTTATGGGGCATAGAAGTTCCCTGGCATGTCCTCCTGTTCACACCCCACAGAAATGTATTGTGCAGGGAGTGTGGGGGGAGGTACAGCAAAGTATGGCATGGGAGAAACCCATTGGAGGTGAAAGATATGTTCTGGATCCAGGCAATCTGGTTTGGTCTGCGCTTCCTAAGACAGAAATAAGCCACCTGAAGATTCCCAGAAGTGGGAGCCAAACGTGCCTTAAATTTGTTGAGCAGCAGCTTCAGAACTTGGGGCGTCGTCATTGTGCTGTTGATTCGGACGTTCGTGATGGAGCCGTAAGCGGGCGTGAACACTGACGTCTGGGGAAGAAAAAGGAACCACAGAAATGCATCAGAATAGGGAACGGCTGGGGAGCAGGAAGGAACAGAAGGTGGGGGGTTTGTTTGTGGGACAGGAAGGCGTTCAACAAATCTGTGACATCTCGGACAGGCCACTTGTCCCCTTTGCTATTTTGCTTCATGAAAGACGCACACGGCCGCCCCTCCAAAAAGAGAACTGTTTTGAGCCACAGGTGGCAGAACAAGCAAAATGGCTGAGAGTAAGGGAAAAAATGGCGGCCTGAGAATTTTATAAAAACTGGGGAAAAAGAGGCAATCAAACAGTGATCGGGTGTGATCAGTGACTGCAAACCAGATTCTGTGAATATATTTGATTGATAGCATAGTGCTGAAAAATCTAGAAAGGGACTGGGAGACGTTTCTGTCAACCTTTTTACGCCCGCTCTCCTGGTTGTTCTGGAAAGCCAAGGGCTTTCCGTGTTCCAAATGCCTGTTATATTCTAAAGCCTCCCCGAGTAGACGTTGTCTAGAGGGGTGGGTAAAAATCGAATCAATCAATCAATCAATCAATCAATCAATCAATCAATCAATCAATCAATCAATCAATCAATCAATCAATCAATCAATCAATCAATCAATCAATATGGCTTCCCTTCCCCCTCCAGCACTGCTCCAGGCTCTTAAAAAGAGCATTAAAAGATCCAGAGAAAAGGGATCAAAGCCTCACTTTGTGATTATAGAAATGGCCGTTGATGGAGAAGCGGTGGCGCTTGATCCGCCTTTGCTCGCTCGGGGTGCGGAGGTTTCCTCTCCGACGCACGCCGACATCGCTTCGTGTCCGCATCAGCTGCGGCGTCTCTTCCTGTTGGGCCTTGAGATCTTTGTTATCTGAAAAGGAGATTCTTTTTAATAAAGTTTACTTTCAGAAAACCACAGATGTCCAAAGAGTTTCCTAGCCTTTGCAAATGGGAGTGAGTGAGGAGTGGACACCAGCCGGCTGTTCTGTGGAAAGGCTTCCAAATTCAGCCGAATCCTGCTGACTTGCGCAACGTTCCTGGTTGCTACTAGAAATCTCCTGAAGGCTGTTTGAAGTCTCTAAAAGTCTTGAGCCAACATTCCACTCTGTTTGCGGTTTGGCCTGGTGGGGGCGCTGGCACTGTGCCACTATTGTGAGACCAAATGCACGCCCTACGTTTTGCTAGGAGAAGTCCCAGATCAAGCCGTTGTTTTAAAGATCTTGTTCATAATCAATTATGCCATAGATTCCATTTATAAGATCTTTCTGCTTTCTAAGCCCTTTAGAAGTTTCCAGACCATCTTGACATTCTATGAGGAAGGCTGAAGTGTCTGTCATTAGAGATAAGAACTCAGATCCTCTTGCTTGTCCTAGTTAGTTGCAACTGCAGCAAGTTTATTGAATCAATGGAACATACAGAGGAGTAGACTCATCAAAACCCCACTGAATCAATGGGTAAGCTGCAATTTATCCTATGACACAAGACTTCAGCCAATGTGTTCAAGCACCTTTATATTTAACACATTTTTTAAAAACTTTTGTCCTATTGTCTTTTAGGATTCTTATCTTACATTACATTACATTACATTATGTATATTATATTAATCTGGCTTCTATACCACCCATCCGGCCAAAGGCCACTGTGCATTTTACAACAATGGAAATAATAAAACAATAACAACCCAGAATAACAAACATAACTAGAAATTAAAATAAAAACAGAATTGACGATGCATTTGAATACATTATTGTTAAAACAGTTAATAAGTAGGTGGCAACTAAAACCAGTGAGGCTGAAAACACTGAGTGGGGGGCTACAGAGGTCATTAACACTGGATGGCTTGTTTTCCAAACCTGTTATATTCTAAAGCATGACATTAAAAAAGATGGGGACTAGTTCTGATAGCCAGTAACAACACGCTTCTTGAATTCCTCTGAGCTACGCCCCAGGGCAAGGATACCGAATCTGCTGGATTGAAGGAGGTGATGGTTCTAAACGAATGGCCTTTTCCTTTAAGGAAGAGCAAGGGAAAAGCAGCCCATTTCCACGGAGGTCCAGTAAGGCTCCTGAATGCAACGAAATCCCTCTTAATCCATTTTTAATGGGCTCTTGGAAAAACTGCATTTCAATTCTGGATCCCCATCATGTGCCAATCCCCGCCCCCCAAGTAAGCTGGCAGGAATGAAGAAACCCAACCAAACAATACTCAGCAGGTGGCAAACCAAGAAAAGAGACCCCAGTGGAACTTGGCATGGATGGGGGGGGTGGGAGGGCTGTTTTCTCCCGAAACGACAGAGCCATTGAGGTCTCTCATGCCCATGGACCCCTGGGAAGGCAGAAAAGGGGGCATCACCCTAGAATCGGCACACCGATGTGGTTGGGACGGCTAGACATTCTTTATGGCTGGCAAAGGTGCTGCACTCCATGAACATCTGGAGAGCGGACCCCTGCCTGTCCTCCCCCCACATAACACAACTATTCCGTTGTTTGAGGTGCGTAGTTCCTCAAAGGCACGAAACCCTTCGCCTGCCCATGTCTGATGGCTTCTTCCAGGCCCAGCTTCATTTCCTGCTTCGGAATGAGCACCCCTTATCGACGCATAAGTTTTGACATACCCCTCCCAAGATCAGCTGCAAGGGGCCACCCCTTGACATACAAAGGACACTTCAAAGTCCTCCCTTTTTTTCGCCTTTGGACCCTTTTCATGTGGAGACCAAAACATCAAAAGGGAGGAAGTGGGGAAGGGTTTCTGCTCTGCACCCACTGGACTGGCGAGGTCGGCTGACTGGCCAGGAAGACCAATTGTTTTCATTGTACAAGGCGAGATTTGAACCGCTGTCTCCTTGGGCGAAGGTTTCTCCCTGCTGTGCAAGTAACCTGGTGCCCCTCAGAGGTTTTCAACCACAGGGACCATCAGGCCCAGCTAGCATGGCCAGGATTAAAGGAACTCGAGTATCAATAAGCAAAAAAGAAAGGGAAACCTTTTGTGTGTGTGTGTGTGTGTGGAATCCACTGAGAAACTCCAACTAGGAGAAGCATAAAAAAGAGGTGCAGAAGCCGCTGGTCTCCAGAAACCTTCCTGATACACAATCAAATATGAAAAAGGGAGGAAAAAAAGTTTGAATAAATAATTTCCCTCCAAATGAAGAACTGTGAGAAAGTAAGAAGGAGAACAGTAGGCCAGGAGAAATGTTTTATATATATATACTGACTTCCTTCCTCTGTCTGAAATGGAAGCGGACTACATGTGATTCTTGCAGCTCACTGCATTTCCAGAGCGGGCACAGTTGTGCAACAGAGAAAAACAACCTGCATATCTGATTAAAGGAGCACTGGCAGTTTTGACTCAGCCCAGATGAGAGGACACAGCAAATGAGAAGAGGAAGTGAGGGAGGAAGTTATAGATGACTATCAAGAGATAGCAAGAGGGGAAGGGTTGTGGGGCATCAACTTATTTACCACTTATGTTGACAGCATCAGCCTACACAGCACTTTTACAAAGAAGCAAAGATGCTCTTTTCAGTTCTCGGATAGGCTACTGTAAAGCATTTTGCATGGGGCCTCCCCTTGAAGATGATCCAGGAACTTCAGCTTGTCTGGAATTAATCTGCCAGGATTTTAACTAGAACTAGCAAATCGGACACTGATCCTTTATCATCTACACTGGGTAGCAATTTATTCTCAGGCTGGCTTTGACTTTCAAAGGTCTTAAGAGGTGAGGGCCGGAGAATTTAAAGAATTGCCGCATGGCAGATTCACCTATCCGGCCACTCAGATCTTACTCCACGGCCCCAAATCAGAGGAACAGCCAGCAAACAAGAGAAGCTATGGATCAAGGCACCCAAAATTTGGGACATCTTACCATAGTAAAAATAATATTACAATAATCTTAGAACTGGATGGGACCCTATGGATCATCCAGTCCAGCCCCTGACAAGGAGGCCCAGAGGGGGAATCAAACTCCCAACCTCTGGCTCCACCGCCAGAAATCTAAACCATGGAGCTATGGGATGTCCCCCTTGGTTATTTCGCCGTTCATCTTTTCATATGTGGCAAATACTTTAAAATATATTTAGCTGACATCTTTGGATGAATATTAAGTTCTTGTGGTGGCTGTTCTCCTGTCTCTTGATTCTAGACCACTAGATTCTCTTAGATCAACTTTAGACTGTGTTCCTGTAAATTACTGTTTAATTGTATGTTTCTACTGAATTATTGTTAGCTGTTTATTATTATTATTATTCATTCAACAAGCCTGAAATGCCACTAGAAGCTATTGTGTATCACAAGAAGACAGGGTTCATTGAAAAAGACAGTCATGTTAGGGGGGGAAATGCAAGGCAGGAGGAGAAGAGGAAGATCTAACATGAGATGGATCGGCTTAAAGCGGCGGCCTTGACTTTGCACGACCTGGGCAGGGCAGTTCACAACAAGCTCTGCTAAGGAAGACCATGTTGCAGCTTTGACCATTCTAGGATCTACTGAGAGGGTGGTTTTGCTGACTTTTTTAAAAAAATGACATTCAGCAATCGTGCAACAGCTCAGATCACCGAAAGCTTTCGAACGCCAAACTCTGCACGGTGGTTTCGTCTTCTCTCAAACAGGAAGGCCGGTCCGCCGAGGCCGGGATGGGGAGAGGGAGAGTCGGCTCGCTGTGGAAATGTTTATTTCTCCATGGCAACCCTGCCGAACAATGAATCCTGTTGTGCCCTTTTTCAAGACAGGAGGGCTCTGTGGCCAAGAGAAAAGGGGCTGGAGCTCCTATCAGGGCCGTGGGGGGATGAGGGCAGACGCGCTTCCCTTTTTTTAATGCCGGTCACATCACCTCCAAAGAGGAAATCTGCGGGATGACGCCAAGAGCCTCTCCAGTCCAGCAGCTCACCTCCCAGAGGGCTCGATCCGGTTCTTTTGGGAAGCCCCGTACGCAAGATACGAGAGCAGCTACCTTCTCTTGTGTGGTTGTTCCCCTGCAGAAATTAGTATTCAGGGGTAATTTGGGGTCCTCATTCAGGACTAGCACCTTTACCCTCAGTGAATTGGTCTGCTTCCTGTTCGAAATCACCCAGGGAGGAGACCCCTGCTACATCTTGTGGCAGGGAATTCCACAGGTCAGCTTCCCAGTACATGAAGACAGCAAGGGCTGTGTGTTTCGTAGCTTCCGTTCCAAAAACTCTCTTTTCTGTCCCATCTTACCATTTACACCCTCAGTCCAATCGCTGTCAGAGGAAGGTTCCGCATCCGTGACCTGAATGTCAGGCAAGGTGGTTGGCTTTACGACAGACCTAAGTACGAAACAAAGACATTAAGGCACTGAAAAGAGCAGGCAATTTTTTTCCCTCACCTCTTCTCAAAACCCAGGTTGATACAATGGATTACGATCAGGGTGATAATTAATTGGCCGAAAATGTTCTAATGGGTCAGTCATTTCACTTTTAACCAGCAAATCAGTCATAAATATATTTGCATATTATCAAAAGTTATTTTTTTCAGGCTATGGAAATTGGAGAATTTGCAACTCATTACAGAGAAGTTACTGACTCCTAGAAGAAGATAGGTTTGTGTTTATGGACTCTGCAGCACTGGGGGGATTCTGGGAACTGTAGTCCCAAAACACACATCTGCATCTCTCGGTCGTATGTATATAATGATCAGAACAGGTCTCTACCCCGTTAGCAGCAGCAAGAAACAAATTTCTGCAAAAATTCACAGTGCAATCCTTCCAGCGTTCATTTCTTCCTGGTAGAAGTTCTAATGCCACTCTGACTGTAATTTTCCCCGAGAAAACTCTGATTCATCCTGCAGCCTGTGATCATTTCAATTATAGTCTCCCACAAAGCACAGCCGTGTCAGTTACGGTGCCCGGTTGCATTCGGATGCAGCTACAGATCCTGCAGCTCCCAAGCTGAAAACGTGAGGTGGAGAACTGCCATCCGGACAAGCTAGCTTTTTCGCAGAACGAGGTTTTCTTTGGGTTAGTAAAATACGAACTTTTCAGTCTCACAGAACTCTTCATAAGGCTGAGGAAGAGTCCTATGCCACTTGAAAGCTTAACTTCTAATGCTATTTTAGCACTCCCTACTCTGTTTTAGGATTTTTGCCCTGGAACCACACCTCTGTGTACCTATCTACATCTCGTTTCCCACTGAGGAAGAGTGGGAAAATAGAAAAGGGGGGCTCGTCATGGAGGCAAGGCGAAACAGGCTTTGTGGGGCGATCCGTGCCACGTTCCATCCCCCCCAGAAGTACACAAGTCACAATAGCCCTGTCTGCATTTACAGCACAGGGATAAAATATACATCCCAAGGCTCAGGTGTGAACAAGACATTTTTCTCACGTCTGCAACATAAAAGCCCCCGTTTCCAATTCATTAGAGGAAAAACAACTCCAGGAAATGGAACCTTTCCTCCCACCGGCTGTTTTTCTACTCCACATCACGCTTTCCTCACCGTGTCCCTTCTAACAGCCTTCCCCTTTCCATTCCAGCACTGAACCTTGTAAAAGGCGGAACCAGAACTGGCCAAGGAGAAAAGCCGAGCGAGGGAAGGGCTGGTGGCTGAAACCTGCCCTCCCCAGAGCTGCAGCTACTTTTTTTTTCTTCCCATGAAGAAGTGCCATCAGAGCTCTGGGCGACCCACGGTCACACGGAGCATGGAGTTCATCTCCCAGAAGACTCAGGCCAGGAGAAAAACACTGGGTTTGGTACAGACCCGTGGGCTCCCAGGTTGCAGCCGGAGTGCCAGGAAGAGGAGGACGGGGGCGGGCGGATGCGCTGGTTGTCATCCTGCATCTGCAAGCGAATTGGCCGACACAGCCCCCAGGAAATATTCAGCAAGCCCTCCACTATGAATTCTCCTTCTTCCTACAGAGCAGAGAGAAAGAGAGAGAGAGAGAAGGGTCCTTGTGAATGGTCCAGAAACGGGCCTGTTATAAAGATGCTGGAAGAATCATCCCCTGTTACTGCAGGCTTCTATGGCAGATTTCGGTCCAACTTCACGGCTATGCCATACTTTACCATTGGTGCAGCTCAACATTCAGATTCCTGAGAAGTGTTTTCACTGCACAAAGCAAGCCTCTAGCCCTTGTGACTGTGACTCCATGAACAAAACTGGGTGAAATGATGAACTTTTAAAAGTCTGGGGGTGGGAAAAGTCAATAATTGCTTCTGCCATTCTTTGGGATCTGGAGATTTTTAGAATTATAGAATAACTGCATTGGAAGGGGCTTTGAAGGCCATCGAGTCCAACCTCCTGCTCAAAGCAGGAATCCGACTTTTGGTATATGCCTTATTGATTGATGCAGGTGAGGGGTGGATGGGTTTTGATCTATTCTGTTCTGTTTGCTGAGCACTTAGGCTAGTGCCCAGCACTGTCAGCAGTATAAAAATCTATGAATGAATGGATGAATGAGTGAATGAATGAATGAGAATTTCACAGGTTTCAGTGCCCTGTGCATAGCCCTTCTCCATGACAAACCAGAATCATGCTGAATAGCAAGGAGAAATGCAGAGCCACAGAAGTAAATCCCAATCTGAATCAACCTTGATGCTACTGCAACAAGCCAAATGGCTGTAGGGGCCTACCAAGATGCAGTTCTGCTTGCAGAAATATTTGTTGGACTTGGACAACTGTGTTTCATATGGATCTGGCAGGTAGCCATGGTTTTGAGGCATCTTCTAGCAGAGCTAGAGGTTGAAAGTTCAGTTCCCCACCGTTCTTCCTTGAGAAGGGCCGGACTTGGGAGAACCCATAGGGTCCCTTCTCGCTCTGCAGGTCTAAGATACAGAGCTACTGAGAAAGCCTGGGGGAATTCTAGAAGCCTCCATGCAAAACACAGATTCGGCACACCCCTTGTAGCCAGGTTAGCCTGATGCAGCAAAACCAGCACCGTCTTAAAGATTAACAAGTATTCTTTGGCACAAACTCTCCTGGACTATAGTCCACAGCTTCAACTGCAGAAAAGGAAAAGCTGCTATTTGTTTCTCAAAAAGCACCCTACAGATGGGTTTCAGGCCTCCCCTTCTGGGGGCGCAGAATTCTGACTCAGCCGTGCAGCTGTGTTTTTTTTTTTCCCAAGGTGAGCCGCACGTACCGCCTTCCTCGTTAAGTCCCATCCCAGCCGCCTTGGCAGAGCTGGTTCCTCTTACCTCTCTGTGCCGTAGCTGCAAGTTCTGCCCCTCGTAGTAGAGGTTGTACGTCTTCAGGTGCAACAACAGCTCGTTCCTGGAAGGGTTCAAAATGCAGCAGGAGTTTGAGACCAGCGCAGAAAGAGAAGGACCAGTTCTGCCTCTCCAGAACCTACACAGCGCCCGACCCTCTGGAGCCGCAGAGAAGATGCACGCGGCACATCTTGTGGGAGAGCCTTTCCGATCTCTGAAGGTGCCTTTTGGATGACCGGCCTCTCTGCCTTCTCTTCTGGCCTCCATTCTAAGCCTTCCTCTCATTCCACCCGGGCTCAGGACCCCAGAACCTGAAAATGCCTCCCTCCCCTTTCCCCCACCACCAGCCCCCTCGCTTACCTGGAGATGTATTTGTCTCGCCCACAGGGAACCAAGGAGTTCTCGCTGAGACCGTCCATCCCTGGGAAGGGTCTTTCATGAGGAAAAGAGGCCTGCTGTAGGAAACGGAAGAAGAAGCCCCAATGAGACACAGCCTTCCTTTAAGAACTCTACAGGGTCTTAGGATCCAGAGGGCAACGGATTCCGTGGCTGTCCAGAGCCTTCTATGTGCTTGTGGTTTTTTTGGGGGAAGAGGGGTTGTTTTGTTTTTGCTTTAACAGATGGCTTAAAACGGCAGGGTCGAAAGTCCAAGGGAGGGATAGCCCTGGGTCCTTAAGTTAAAAAAAAAATTTAAGTGGCATGAGCCACAACCTCAGCTCACACCTATGGAGGTGGCTGCAAGTGCGTGAGGAATGCCAGTAAGCCGCTGGCCAGCATCGCCCTCTGCTACCTTTCCCGCAAAGCACAGACCGAAAATACAATATGGAAAACCGCCCAACCACCGTGCAAAGTCTATTTCACCTGCATATTATATACCAATGGCAGAACTTATTTTTAAATGTTTAAATAAATTTTTAAAAGTAAATAATAAATAAACTTGCTTTTCCTGAGACTGGGGTGGCCAGAACGAAGGATAAAACACACACAAGGACTGTGTTACATTCGCAACCTGTCCAAAGTCATCATTCATTCTCCAGTTGCTTGGACTTCCCACGATACATATTGGATATTTAAATGAAATGACACCATCTGGTCTGGTTCAAAGTCCCTGCTGAGCACCCCAATGGATATTCTGAACCCTCAATCGCCAGCCACGGGAAATCTTACTAGGCCACCCTGTCAACAGCCCGTGCCCATTCACGTTCAACCTGTCCTACAGGCTGGAAACTTAATCTTTTCCCTTCCCAAACGGGAAGAAGACATAACAAATGCTATTTTGGGCGACGAGCGCCACACACTTAAGGACAACAGCCAACACACACTTTGTGATCCCAGCAGGTGTCAAGAAGACAGAAGCCTGCGGTTTTCACAAAGCAGGAAGGGGGGACGTTTAAAGCCGGAGACGACATCATCAGCGCTGCATTGTTCTGCAAAAGGAGGTGGGTGGCGGTGGGGGGAGCAGACCAGAAGCACGAAGAATACCCCCCATCTCCCAGCGGGACGGCTGTCTAAACTCTGCGTTTCCTGCCTCTCTCCCCTGTCTTCGTTTCTAAATGCTTTTTCAACGTCAATTTCATGGTCACTCGTTTGTTTCCTTCTGTCTGGCTTAAGCATTTCCACTTTGGGTCTAGCGACCAACTTTTGATGGCATTGGGGCCAACAAAGGTATTTTGCGGCCTGAGGCCAATGAAGAAGGGAGAGCGCCCCCCCCCCGACCACTTCGCACACTGAAGTGAACCAAACAGGGTTTGCAGTCAGCTGGCAAAACCTCCCACTGCAAAGGAAAGAGGTGGGGGGGGGGCTGAGCGGGTGCAGAGAGGGTTGCTTGACCTGCCCAGACCCCTCTCTGCCCCTTGCACCGCGATCTGCCCCATCCACCTCCTCCATGGCTAGAGCAACGGAAGGTCCTGCCCCCACCCACAACGAAATTGACACATGCACCCAAACACAACCGCCTTTAGTGGGATCACTGTGTTCGAGAAGGCTGGGCCAGGGCCTTCAGCGACACCACTGCTCCCAGCATGTGAAAACCTCTGCTTCCAGTGTGTTCTTCTGACTGACTGCTCTTCCCTTCCCTGTTTCAAATGCGGGTGAGCAACCACTCCCAGGCTCGGAAACCTGGGAGCATAGTTCCACATTTTCCCTTCCACTTTGGGTCTAGCGACCAACTTTTGACGGCATCGGGGCCAACAAAGGTATTTTGCTGCCTGAGGCCAAATTCCAGTTGGAGAGTTTCAGTTCTCAACAGACTCTGAAAATGTTCCTAAATCCTATATAAGCCCTCAGTTCAGAACTATTTGTGCATAAGAGGAAAATGAGCGGGTGCAGAGAGGGTTGCTTGACCTGCCCAGACCCCTCTCTGCCCCTTGCACCGCGATCTGCCCCATCCACCTCCTCCATGGCTAGAGCAACGGAAGGTCCTGCCCCCACCCACAACGAAATTGACACATGCACCCAAACACAACCGCCTTTAGTGGGATCACTGTGTTCGAGAAGGCTGGGCCAGGGCCTTCAGCGACACCACTGCTCCCAGCATGTGAAAACCTCTGCTTCCAGTGTGTTCTTCTGACTGACCGCTCTTCCCTTCCCTGTTTCAAATGTGGGTGAGCAACCTCTCCCAGGCTCGGAAACCTGGGAGCATAGTTCCACATTTTCCCTAAGATGTGCATTTATTGGCCTTTTTTCAGTTACTGTACTACACTGACCCGAGCGAAGGGACCACAGCCTCCCTGTCTTCCCCCATCCCACGACAGTGTCGCACCTTTTAGCCGCCCAGAGTCTCACATTTTTATTCCTTGGAAATGCCCCCGAGAGCCTGGCAAACTTGTGATCTCTCCCGGCAGAGTACCTGTCTGCTTACACTGACTCTCAAGAGGTGCCGGGGCACTGGGAATGGCCCCTGGGGTGGGGGCTGCTACCACCACCGGCTGAGCGTGCACAGCGTGGGCCTTGCCCCCTCGCTCTGCCCTCAGGCCTGACAAAAGTCCTCTGCAAAGCACGACCATCAGCACACCCTTACAGCTCCTTCAATCATTTCATTCCAGAAAAGCAGGTGACCTCCTGGAGGGCACAGGAAACACAGACTGAAGGAAAGGCAGCACCTCATCTGCAAATTTAGGTAGCAAACAGATGCATTTGGAAGAGCGCTGTCATCCTCCCTCGGTCATCAGGCATCTGGTGCTTGCATTCTTGCCTCCCAGTCACCCACATGGAGCAATGCCGGAAATCCAGCTGTTCATCATCCCTCAGGTGGGAAGAGATTCACAGCTTCCTAAAGCTGCTTGAGATCCTTGGAAAGAAACCTTCACTGCGTCTTGTGACCCTTTTAAAATCGCAGCTCACGTACCAAACCCAAAAACAGACTCTTTGACGATTAGCTGGCAACTCCCAGACATATTTCCAGAAGCAGCTCCTGCCTGCTTCCAGATGTTATCTAGACAGCCTCTAGGATGCTCTTTCCTTCCCCCCCTTTTCTGCAATGAGCATCCATTGCTAACAGCTGGAAATAAGGAACAGATAAGTATTTTCCAAAGGATACGCTTTTGGAAACAGCCTAGCTCAGGAGAAAATGAAGAAAAGATGTACGAAGAGGACCACAATAAAGGTCTGTTTAGGCTTCCATCCTGTATTGGCATCAATGGAAGCTGCATTGAAGGCAACAGAATTTACTTCTGAGCAGACATGGGTTGTTTGTTCTGCTTCTAACAGCAGCCACCCAAATGCCCACAGGAGAGATACACAGCAACCGCCTTTATCTTTCTTCCATTCACTTCTCCAAAGTGTCTGATTCTTCACAACTTAGGACTTCTCGGCTTATACACGGCTTTGAGGCCACAGTGACTCATAAGATGACTGGAGGGTTTTTAAGAACCTCCGAAGCAATTAGCCATCAGAAGATCCAATGGTGCTGAGTTCCGCCAGCTGATAAAGCATGGTGTGAGCTTGTGGTCCAAAGGTGGAGAGCCTATTCTCATGTTTTTTTGGTAAATCGGTCCTCTGCAGCCACACAAGTATCAATAACCACAATTGTTTGCAGCGATACAACAAAGGATGTTTTTTAAAAGGTGGCCGTGGGCTGGCCACCCCCTCTCAGCTTGTTGCAATGAGAACAGACAGAAAAGGAAGGCTGCCATGAAATTCTCCTTGAACTACCAGGAGAGAGGAAGGATGTAAGTGTAGCAGGAAAAAAAATTATTTGTCCAGACGGAAATGATAAAATGAATGTCACAGCGTAAGTGTGTTGCATGTGATGAGAACAGCGATATCAGTTTGACAAGACAGCCCGGCGCAGGCTTCAGCTTCACTCAGAACAGCGAGCGGGGACACAGCTTTATCTACGGAACTCCCCTCCACACAGAGACCAGCCTTCTCAGCCACCCCGACGGTGGGAGATGGCTCTTCCAGGAGCCCTTAGTCGGGCTACTTTGAGCTGCCATCATTTCAATCCTGCTTTTAGCCACTCTGGAAACTCCAAGCAGTGCACAGAGCTACCAACAACCAAGACAATTTAAAGCATTTCATATGGGTCTCTCCAAGGCTCAGTAGGTTCTGGTAAGGTGTCATGGATAGAATGGCAGACTAAGAGCCAAGAAACCTGGCTTCAGAACCCCTCTCAGTCATGGAAATTCATGGGGCGGGAATTAATGGGGCTGCTTAGATATTAACCTCTATTAGGCATCCTTCAGTCTCGAAAGACTATGGTCATGTGCTCTGTATGGAGGACTTGGAACAGCATCTAGTGTGGCTGAGGAGGCCGATTTGAGAGTGACAATCCCTTCCACACTGAAGACAAATCCAATCTGACCCCTGTCCAGCTCCCTGATTTTGCTTGTTTCGGGACTGCCTCTTTGCCTCGGCCTGCTGGACAAGGGTCTCTTCAAATTGAGAGAGGACGTGATGCACTGCCTGCCTCCAGGCTGAACGCTGAGATGTCAGGGCTTCCCATCTGTTGAGGCCCATTCCTAAGGCCTTCAGATACCACTTGCAGATGTCCTTGTATATCGCAGCTGTGGTCTCCCTCTGGGGCAATTTCCCTGCACTAATTCTCCATATAGGAGATCTTGTGGAATCCGACCATCAGCCACTCTCACGACGTGCCCAAGCCAACGTAGACGTTGCTGTTTCAGTAATGTATTCCTGCTAAATATTCCTGCTTGATCTAGGACTACTCTGTTTGGGACTTTGTCCTGCCAGGTGATACCAAAAATGCGTCGGAGACAACGCATATGGAACGTGTTCAGCTTCCTCTCCTGCCATGCATGAAGGGTTCAGGACGCACTGCAGTATAGGAGTGTGCTCAGGACACAGGCTCTATAGACCTGGATAGCCTCATATGAATGAAAATAGGTAGATAGGTAGGTAGGTTGGTCAGTCGGTTGATCGGTCGGTCAGTTGGTCCACCCCAAAGCCACATGAACCAAAAGTCTGATGAGGGAAGAGGCAGCTTTCTGATGGC